ATGCAGGCTTAGGCGTGGTTGAAGCCCAACCGGCCCGCCGAGCTTCGTGCCCTCCTCCTCCTCCTCCTCCTCCTCCTCCTCCTCCTCCTCCTCCTCCTCCCCCCCCTGTCTTCCCCCCCCGGGTGGTCGCCCCCCGAGCGCGGGCGCCCGGCGAGGCCGAGCCCGATTGTCTGAGCTCGTCCGGGCCAGCCGGCCAGAGAGCTGATGATCGAGCGCGGGCGCTCGACGTGGCCGATCGTCCTCCTCTCCACCGTCCTCCGTCCTCCTCCTCCTCTCTTCCTCTCTTTCTTTCCCCCTGGGTCGTCGCCTCCGAGCGCGGGCGCTCGGCGGTGCCGAATCCGGCCGTCTGAGCTCGTCCAGGCCAGCCGGCCGGGGAGCTTGCGCGCGAGCGCGGGCGCTCGACGTGGCCGATCGTCCTCCTCTCCGCTGCCCCCCTCCCTTCCCCCCTGGGTCGTCGCTTGGCAGCCGACCGGAGAGCTTGTGAGCGAGCGCCGGCGCTCGACGTGGCCGATCGTGCTTCTGTCTTCCGTCCTCCGTCATCCGTCCTCCTCCTCCTCCTCCTCCTCCTCCTCCCCACCCTTGGGCCCCTGGGTCGTCGCCTCCGAGCGCGGGCGCTCGGCGAGGCCGAGCCCGATTGTCAGAGCTTGTCCAGGCTGGCCGGCCGGAGAGCCTGTGATCGAGCGCGGGCGCTCGACGTGGCCGATCGTCCTTTCTCATGTGTCTTCCTCCTCCCCCCCTCCTTTCCCCCTGGATCGTCGCCTCCGAGCGCGGGCGCTCGGCGGCGCCGAATTCGATTGTCAGTGCTCGTCCAGGCCGGCTGGTCGGAGAGCTTGTGAGCGAGCGCGGGCGCTCGACGCGGCCGATCGTGCTTCTCTCCTCCGTCGTCCTCCTTTCCCCCCTGCCCCCTCCCTCTCCTTTCCCCGGCGGCTGGCGTCCGCGTCTATGCCGCTGGCGAGCGCGTCGCTGGCGCAGGCGCGACTGGCGGCCGTCTCCGCCCCTGCCGCTGCCGCGCTCGCCGCGGGCATGGACCGGCGTTTAGCTTCTTGTTTTAATTGTGCTTCTGGCACGGGCCGCCTTGCAGGGGAGCGGGCGCAGGTCTGGAACTTGCGTGTGCGGGCTGCGGACTCGGCTGAGATTCATAGCGCTACGCGTGCAAAAACTCAAGTGACATTGCAACTATTCGTTGCTCCCCCCCGTGGCCCCACCTTCGCAGCGGTGGCCTGCAGTTTTGCCCCCGACCTCCGTGGGCCCCGCGGCAACCCGGGGAAAAATCCGCGCTTCCAATGCCGGCGTTGCCCCTTCGTGAGGTGGGCCAGGGCCTGCGATGGATGGCGGTTATGGTGCTGCGAATTGGGCCGCGCCGTCGTGCAGGGCAAGGCCCACTTTGCTGAGGAGAAGCGCAGGAGGGCCGTCCAGAACCACTCGGGCGCATTCCCTGATCCTACGGAGTGGGGCGGAGGCGGCAAACCGTGAGACTGCGTGGCCAGAGGCGGCGCAACCGAGCGATCATGGATGGTTGGCCCCCCGTGCTGGTCTGGTGGGCGGGCGGGAGGTGCAGCTATGAGACTTTGTCGAAGACGATTGGGATGCCGCCCCCATTTGCTACTCCGCCATGAGCGCCCCATTGGGCATTGGGCTGGCTCCCGCCCGACAGCCTAGGCAGGGGCACTGGCGCTGTGCGACGCCCCTGGGTGCTCTGCGTCGGCGACGAGCCATCGGGCGGGACCAGGTCCCTCTAGTGGGGGCGGCTCCGCTAGCGGACCCCCAGCCGCGCCGCCGGCCAACGTGCCGGAGTCCTTTTACCCCCCGAAGGGTGATCCTCCCAGCGAGCCACGCGCGCCGCCGCCCCGCGGCCCTGCCACAGACGGCAGGCGGCCCCCCTGCTCTCTCAGACGACAGCCTCCCCAGCCTACGTGCAGCACGTACCAGGCGGGACATGTGCTCGTACCAGTGGTACTCTCCTCCCATGCAGCCCATTCAGCGCCCCATCGGACCCGTGCCGGGAGCTCCCCCTACCCCGCGTGTGGCAATGGGATTATTAGGCTAAGGGTTGGAGGCTGTTTCAGATCTATGAGGCCGAGCAGATTGCCTGGCGTCTTGCCCTTTCTCTCGTTCTGAGTCGGCCCGTCTGCGGGGCTGGCGGCGGCCTGTCTGGGCCCCCCCTCCCCCCCCGTGCCCCCGCCTGCCGTCTCGTGTATCCGCGGCGCTGCGCCGATTTGGCCCCCCTCCGCGGGCCTCCGGCTTCCGCTCGGGGCCGCGCTATCTCTCGCCGCTTGGCCTGCCTTCGCCCGGGTCCTGCGGCTACAGCTCTCGGCCGTTATTCCCCTTCGCATTTAGGTTCCTGCGGCGCTGTGCCTATTCGGCGCCCCCCCCGCGTGCTCCTGGTTGCCGCCCGGGGCTGCGCCTGTGCGCTCCGCATTGCCTGCCGCGGCCCAGGTCTGGCGGCTGCCGCCCTCGTCTGCGCCCCTCCCGCCTTCTGCCCTCCTTCCTGGAGTCGGCTGCTGCGCGTGCCTCGGGCGGGCTGGCCCCTGGGCCCCTGGGCCTCCTTTTTCTTGCTGGGGGGTGTCCTGCCTTGCAGCTGCGACCCCCCGCCCTGGCCAGGGGTTCGCCGGTCTTCTGCGGGTTTTGTTCAGGCACCGCCCGTGGCGCCCTCCGCCGCCTTGCCGCGCCCAGTGCCTTGCCGGCCGACCTCGGCTGCTTCTTGCCGGGCCCCCCCTCGCCGGCTTGGTTTTCAGGTCGGCCTCTCGCCCGTGCGCCAGCCGTGCTGGCGTCTTGGTCCATGCCGCGCAGCCGTGGAGCCTTGCGCTGCCATCCCCCCTTCCCGTGCCTCGAAGGTCACCAGATCTTGGCGTCTGCGCGCCCGCTTGCTGGCAGTTCCCAGCCACGCGCCGCTCCCCCATGACGGCGTGGCTCCACGGCTTTGTCTCGTGTCTTTTGCTTGCGCGTTGGCCGCTCTTGCCGTGCTCATCGCAGCGCGCTCGTGGTGACCAGCGCTTCACCCTTCTCCCTCTCCCATCGCGCCTCGCAGGTCACGGGATCTCGGCGCTTTGCCTTGCCGTTGGGTTCTCCAGCGCCGCCGGCCCCCCCAATTGCGTGGTGACCGCATCAACATGTGACAGGCATTTCTCCTTGCAGCCGTTTGCTGCTCGTCCAACGTCAGCCCCGTCTGGTATTCCTGTGGGCGGATATTGACTGTTTGGTCTGGACGCTCCAGGCCTGCACATTCGTGGTACCTGCTCCCCACGCGGTTCTGCCCAGCCGCCGTCGGGCTGCCTTCCCCCCCCAGCTGCTGCCCGGCGCCGCGGCTGCCTCCCCCTTCGGCGTCCGCCCCGCCGCAGCTGGGACTTGCCTGAGTGGGCCCGGCTTCCTCTCTTCCCGTTGCGCAGGGGTCTCCTCCTATCCTTCCGTGGATTGCAGTCCAATTTGCGTTTAGCGCGTTCCAAGGATGCCCGATCGCCGGAGCAACAACCTCTGCCCGACCGCCGACGAAATATATATATATATATGTATATATATATATATATATATATATATATATATATATGTGTGTGTGTGTGTGTGTGTTCCCCCGGTCGGGCCCCCGCACTTTGCCTGGTATTCAAGCCGGCCCGCAGTCCTCGTGCCGACATTCCCGCTCGGCCCGTGCTCTGTTCCGCCCCCCCGTGGTCCATGCTTGGTACCTGGGCCGCCCCAGCCGCCCTGCTCCCGCGCCTCGCAGGTCCGTGGGTCTCGGCGCTTCGTGCTGCTCCGCCTGGGCCCTTGCCAGCTCCTCTCCGGCCCCTCTCCTGACGTGGTTTTCGTTGGTTGCTCAGTCGCTTGGAAGGTCGGTTCGATCTCACTGCGCAGCCGCCTCAGTGTGATTCCCGCTGCTACCCTGGCTCCGCTCCCCCCGGCTGCCCTGCGGTTGCCTCCCCGCCGCCCTGGCGCTGCCCCGCTGCCGCCGGACCCCGCTCTGAACGGGCCTGGCCTCTGTCTACCCCCCTCCCGCGCCGGGCGTTCCCTCGACTCATTTCCCTTGCGGCCCAATTTGCATTTTGGGCGTCCCATTATTGCCACATCGGCGGAGCAGTCCCTTTGCCCAGCCGCCGACGCAAAAACTGTTTGTGTGTGTGTGTGTGTGTGTGTGTGTGCGTTTCTCTTTGGAGGAGGAGGAGGATGAGGAGGATGAGGAGGAGGAGGAGGAGGAGGAGGAGGAGGAGGAGGAGGAGGAGGAGGAAGAGGATGAGGAGGAGGAGGAGGAGGAGGAGGAGGAGGAGGAGGAGGAGGAGGAGGAGGAGAAGGTGGGTGGCGCCTCCAAGGGGTCGGCGGCCTTAGCAACGTACGATATAATCACGTGCGTGGAGCTGCCCAAGTACAACGTCAAGTAACGCAGTGTGCGTGATCATGCTTCGGATGCAAGGTTTGGGCCGGGTGGGGAGTGGACTGACGCGCACATTCCCTGAATGCTTAAGCAAGCGGTGGCGACTGCTCCGCGCATCGTTCAAGCGTCAACTTCCCGCTTGCCTCCCCGCCCCGTTACTCCGCGCAAGCCCAGCGTTACCTGCTTTTTGCTCATCGTGTGTGGGTATCAGTGTGAATTTGACCAATGTTCTTGATCCGTTTTTTTGGGTGTGTCGGGTGGGGGCAGGGGTGGAGAGGGGAGGGGGAAGTAGGGCGGATGTTTTCGTGGTGGCGTTCGGCCCATCTGGCCACCGTGTCTGCGACATTAGCCTGAGGCCTCTGGGAGGCCTCTTGCGGTCACTTGGGAGGCCTCTTTGGGGCCTTCGGGCGCTTTTTGATGGCCTCTCGTGGCCTCCTGGGTATATCTTGGAGCTCCCGAGGGCCTCTTGGGGGCCACAGGGGGGCTAGTTTATTTGCCAAACAGATAGGAAGACAATCTATTGAGAAACAGCGGCGTGGGAGATCACGAAAAGTAACACCGAGAAGGAACGGTCAATTACTCGCCTGCCTGGCCGTTGCTGGTTGGGGGGAGCCCGCGACTGCCTCCTCTCCGCCTGCAGGACAACTTGCCAGAGGCGATCGAGATGATAAACAAGCTGAACGATCCGCAGCAGCTGCGCAAGAGGCCACGCGACCCCTTTGTAGCCCAGACTGCCTTCCCTGCAACCCTGCCACGTCGCCAAGTCGCTGTCGCGGTGTGCCATGATCGCAAATCGAGCCGCCGCATCTCCAGGGTGGCTCGCGCGCTGGCGAAGGGCGAAGATCGGGACGGGGTATTCCTATGTTCCTGGATAGCAGAATGGCGATGCCGTATTCGCTCTGGCCAGTTTTTCAAGCGTCCACATGCTTCAAGAGCTCGCGGATCAGCCAAGTGCAGGCCGAGCAGTCAAGGGCTGAGGTTCTTGAGCCACTGCCTATTTTTTTCAAGACCGGGGGATGCGTCTGGGGAGGAGCAAGAATCGGGGGCCGTTACAGGTGCGCAGAATGCCAGTGGCGGCGCTACATTTCCGTGCTCGTTTTCGAGAATCAATGTGTCGCTGGGCGGTGGGAGGCCCAGGGTGCGCGTTATACTTCCCCCTCGGCTGTCCCAGACATTCTGCGGCTTGTCTTTCTCGAGACGTGGGCCCCCAGACCTTTCCACCCCTTCCCCAGGTCCAGCTTTCCACTCCGAGTTTTCTTCCGATGGCCCCGGGGCCCGAACCAATTTCAGGAGGCCCAGCCCGGCGACAAGCCAGCCGCGTCGTGCTTTCCCCGAGCCGCCGGAGGTTTGGGTCTTGGCTGCCTCCCCTCGTCGCAGCTGTCCGAGGCGGGGGCGGGGCGGGCGTCGAGGCGGAGAGGGCCGACAGGCAGGCTCGGGCGGCCGCGGGGGGGGATGGCGCGGGCCTGACGCGCCGGCGGGCGGGCACACGGCCGGCGGGGTCGCGAGCGAGGAGGGCGAGGAGGGGCCTCCAGGGGTCTGGGGGCCCCAGGGCCCAAAGCCTCTTCTTCCTCCCTCTTCTCCTCCCTTCCTCCTCCGTACTCCTCCCTCTCGCCTTCTCTCCCTCTCTCCCTCCCTCCCTCCCTCCCTCCCTCCCACCTCACACCTATTCTCTTCCCTTTCTCCTCTCCTGCCGCCTCCTGTCCCCAGCCGTCTCCACTTTCTCCAGCTGCCGAATGTTTGGGTTTCTGGCCGAGACGAGGATCATTCTCATCCTCCTCTATTCTCCCTCGCTCTGTCTCCCTCCTCCTTTCTCCCTCGCTCCGCCCTGCTCCCTCTCCCGCCTCGCTTCCTCCTCCCTCCTCCATTCTTCCTCGCTTCCTCTCTCGCCCTCCTCTCATCTCGCTCCTCGCATCTCCCCCGTCGCCCTCCTCCGTCTCTCCTCCCTCGTCACTGGTCCCTCCTCTCTCGTCCCTCGCCCTTCCTTCCTCCCTTCTCCCTTCTGCCTTCTCCCTCCTGACCCCCTGTAACAATCCAATTCTGATCGTTGTCGTCGTCCTCTTGCTCCTCGTAGAGGACATCATCAATAAGGCGGTGAGGGAGGGGGACAGTAAAGCGAGGGTAGACCGAAAAGAAATCCGCCGACCCTGTCGGCGTGTGTGAGGGGCTTCTCCGTTCGACTCGTCGTCTCCATCGTCTCCGTTCTCCCCCTCCCAGGGCTCTCCTCCTCAAGCGCGCTATCCAAAGCGAAATTAAACGACGTCGTAGTGGAGTCGAAGGGAAGCCCCTTCCCTTTGATCCCTTCCCCGCAGGGAGGGGGGAGGGGGGGGGGGCAAGCTAGGTGCGCGCGCGTCATATCTGACGTCCTACCCCTCCCTCCCATTCCTTACCATGGCGCTGATTTTCTCTATCCGCGGACTAGTGGGTGGTGGTGCGCGTGCGTGCGTGCGTGCGTGTGTGCGTGGTTGTGGTGGTGGTGGTGGTGGTGGTGGTGGTGGTGGTGGTGGTGGTGGTGGTGGTGGTGGTGGTGGTGGTGGTGGTGGTGGTGTGGTGGTGGTGGTGTGGTGGTGGTGGTGGTGGTGGTGGTGGTGGTGGTGGTGGTGGTGGTGTGTGTGTGTGTGTGCGTGTGTGCGTGTGTGCGCGTGTGCTGTGGCATGGCACGGGAAATGACGCCAGCGCTGCAGCGGGAGCACGAGTCGAAACGGGCGGAAGCGCGGAAATGAGGCCAGCGCTGCAGCGGGAGCACGATTCGGAACGAGCGGAAGCACGGAAATGAGGCCAGCGCTGCAGCGGGAGCACGATTCGGAACGAGCGGGGCCCGAAAATGAGGCCGGCGCCTCGGCGAGAGCAGCATTTGAAAAAAAAACAAGCGAAAACCCGTTTCCGGGGAATCCTGTGTGTAAAAAAACAATACGCGGGGGGGTGTCGGATATCTTCGGGACGCCATCAGGGGAAGTGGGAGAGGAGAGTATTTTCATAATTGTGAATTGTGGAGGGGGGGGGGAGGGGGGGGGGGGGAGGGGGGGGCCGGGGCAGATACGACGCCCGCCGGGGCGCACTTCCTCGAGCGGGCACGCACGGGATGCACTTCCTCCTCCTCCTGGTCCTCCTCCTCCTCCTTTTCCTCCTCCTCCTCCTGCTCCTCTCCTCCTTCTCCTCCTCCTCCTCCTCCTCCTCCTCCTCCTCCTCCTCCTCCTCCTCCTCCTCCCGCAGAGGCGTCCCGGGAGCGGGCCCCGAGTCAAAATACCACCCCCCTAGGGCGCATTTTCCTCGAGCGGGCACGCCCGAGATGCACTTCTTCCTCTTCCGGGAGCACGTCCCAAGTCAGAATATCACACTCCCGGGGCGCACTTTCTTCGAGCGGGCACACAAAGGATGCACTCCTCCTCCTCCTCCTCCTCCTCCTCTCTTCCTCTTCCCTTCCTCCTCCTCTCTCTCCTCCTCCTCCTCCTCCTCCTTCCTCCTCCTCCTCCTCCTCCTCCTCCTCCTCATCCTCCGCTTCCTCCCCCCACTCCTAGCCCTTTCGATCAGGGTCGGCGGCACCAGCCGTCAGGCCTTTCCAATATTGGGATCATGAGGATGAGGGGGAGGAGGAGGGGGGAGGAGGAGGAGGGGGGGGGAGGAGGAGGAGAGGAGGAGGAGGAGAGGGAGGAGGACGACGAGGAGGAGGAGGAGGAGAATGATGATGATGATGATGATGATGATGATGAGGAGGAGGAGGAGGAGGAGGAGGAGGAGGAGGAGGAGGGGGATGGGGAGGAGGAGGACCAGAGGGCAGAGCAAATCCAGGATGCGTCAACCATGCTGCAGCACACCCTCCCGTCCAAAGCCCCCTCCTACGCGTAAGTCCCCACAGGCACTCCTTGTCGCTACAGGACGCACCCCGTGGAGACAGACGAGCGCCCTATGGGCCTGCCGTTCAGGCGGAGACCCGTTTTGAGAGGGAACCGCCCTCCATCCGTGTAGTTGTTCCGCACGTTCACATTTGTTGACGGAGACTCATGCGCGTGAAGCGAGAGCCCCGTTCGAAAAAGGAGCTGCGCTCCCTCTGTGTATAGTCTGCAGCATTTTGCACCTGTGGCCATGCTCGTAGTTTCGAGGATGTTTCAACCGAGAGCCCATTTAGAAACAACGAATCACCTTCATCCTTGTAGCTGTTGGAAACTTGAGGAACCTGGGCGGCGCTAAGGTGAGGGCCACATTTTGAAATCTGGCCGCCGCTTTTCTTCGAGGCTTTTAAACGAACGTGCGTGGCGCTAAGGCGAAGGCCGAGTTCCTGCCATCCGTGCAAACGATACAAGCTTCAGGCTTATAGATCATAGGCGGTGAGGAATTCTCCCGCCCTACTGGAGGAGGAGGAGGAGGAGGAGGAGGAGGAGGAGGAGGAGGAGGGGGAGGAGGAGGAGGAGGTGGAGTAGTACGGGGAGGGAGGAGCAGCAATTTCTCCGGAGCGGCGGGCCATGAGGCCCACCACTCGGAGGTGGCCGGCGCCTCATGTTACGTAACCGCCCCAGACGACACGCTCGCGACTCCTTCTCTTACTCCCCCCCTCTCATCGTGGGCACCGCGGCCTCTCGGGCAATGCCCCTGTTCCGAGACGCTGCGGATACGGGGCTTTTTTTTGCGCATGCCCCGCGCGGAACGTATCCGTGCGCATCCGCGGGATCGCGCCCTGGAATCCAATCCGCGATGGCGCGGATACGAATATGCTCATGCTCGTGATCTCCCCCTCCTGTCGCTCGCCCTGCTCTCGTCCTCTTCTTCTTCCTCCTCCTCTCCCTCCTCCTCCTCCTCCTTCTCCTCCTCCTCCTCCTCCTCCTCTTCCATTTCCTCTTCCTCTTCCTCTTCCTCCCCCCTCCTCGCTCCTAGCTGGCGACATCATACTGGTTGTTGAATGCATCTGATTCCGGCGCCCTGGCGCCACCGCCTAGCCCCGCGTGGGCCCCCCACCCCCTAGGACGCTATAGGCGCAGCCTCAGCCTTAGCCTCAGCCCCCCTCTCCTCGCAGGACCACGCTGTCGCTACCGGCGCCGCAGCTCAACGACGAGGCTCCCGCCGCCACCTCGCCTCCGCGCGCGCGCGGCGCCAGGGCTGCTGGCCTCCACCAAAAGGCCAGGTCCTGTCGGCGGCCCCGTGTTGCTCGGCGCGGGTGCCGGCAGGACCACGCTGTCGCTACCGGCGCCGCAGCTCAACGACGAGGCTCCCGCCGCCACCTCGCCTCCGCGCGCGCGCGGCGCCAGGGCTGCTGGCCTCCACCAAAAGGCCAGGTCCTGTCGGCGGCCCCGTGTTGCTCGGCGCGGGTGCCGGCGGATGGAGGAGGGAGGAGGGAGGAGGGAGGAGGAGGAGGGAGGAGGAGGGAGGGGGAGGGAGGGAGGGAGGGAGGGAGGGAGGGGGGAGGGCCAGGGAGGAGGGAGGGAGGAGGGAGGAGGGATGGAGGGACGGGAGGGAGGGAGGGAGGGAGGAGGGAGGGAGGGAGGGAGGGAGGAGGAGGAGGAGGAGGAGGAGGAGGCGGAGGAGGGGGGATGGGGAGGGGGAGGGGGAGGGGGAGGGGGAGGGGAGGGGGAGGGGAGGGAGGGGGAGGGGGGAGGGGGAGGGAGGGGGAAGGGGGAGGGGGAGGGGAGGGGGAGGGGGGAGGGGGAGTAGGGAGGGGAGGGGGAGGGGGAGGGGGAGGGGGGGAGGCGGGAGGGGGGAGAGGGGGAGGGGGAGGGAGGGAGGGAGGGAGGGAGGGGGGAGGGAGGTTCGGACAAGTAGGCGGACCAGGGTCCGTCCGCGAGGCGCACTGCGGTGCGACAACTCGCATGCACTATTTGCGGCGGTGCAGCCTTAAGATACGAGGGCGGGCTGCAAAACCCCCTCCCCCGGCGCAGTGCGACAGACGCTACAGACGGCGGACAGACGATGAAGATCTCACCTGACAGACCGCGTGAGGTAAAAGGCCCCAACAAGAAAGGCGACGTGCTGGCACGTGGCTAGGCGGCTTGGCGGACCGCCAGTTGGGCGCTTGGCCGCTAAGCGGCGCGCAGTGACGGGGCACACCCCGCCCCCACGCCCTGACACCGTGGACGCGGAGCCACACGTACACACGGGCAGGCAGAAAGGAGGAGATTAGCGCGGGGCACCAGGTGGAGCGCCGCGGAACGATGACAACATAGCTTGGATGTTGAGTGACGGCACGACACCATCGGGCGAGGTCATGAGCAGCTCGGCGAAGGCTCGCCCAGCGCTGTGGAGGCGCTGGAGTAGAGGACCTTGACGAGCTTGGGCAGCGGCGAGGTCCGCGGCGAGAGCTAAGCACCTCTTCTGAAGGGCAGCCATAGCCTGTGACAGCTCGGTTTCACGGTCGGTGAGAGGTGGCTGCTCAGTGACATCCGCCGAGGATCTCGAGACAGAGGCGAGGTCCTCGGTGCGCCTGTCCAGGTGGGCAAGCGGCGTGCGGGACCCTGAACGCTGACGTCCGTCACCCTTGAAAGGTGACTGGAGGGGCCGGCGCGACCCCAGGGATGGAGCCGCTAGGGCCGCGCCCCGAGAGGTCAGGGGAGCCGCTTCCTCTCGCTCAGCAACGGAGGAAGCGTGGGTGGGGCACGAGGGCCTGTCTGGTTTAGTACCCTGCGGGGGGGCTGAAGCCGCCCCCGCGGGTCGCTGGCGATGGGGAGGCGGAGTGGCATGCGCGGTGGGACCAGTCGTGATGCCGTGCAAGGCCGCAGAGGTCGGTCGCGTAGAGGGTTGGTGTCTCGGTGGGGCGGCATGGTCGGCAGCGTGTGGTGTCGGCGGTGCGTCCTCAATGCCACCCAATCCTCGGGGGGCACTCGGGTCGTGGTCGGCGTCCTGGCGGTGACCGATATCATCGTATGTGGGCGTTAACGCTCTTGGGGACGGCGTCGCAGTAGGGTTTGCGAGGTTTCCCGACGGGGCGGGGTTTTCATTGGCTGGTCCGTCGTCCCAAGCGTCCGATCCCCCACCGAGGCTGAAAAGGTCATCGTCCTGCTCATCAGCGTCTTGAAAAGGAACGGCGTTGTCATGTGGGTGGGCTGACGCACTCAATGGCGGAGTCGGGGGCGCCGTGCGGGTGCCCGCCGGGGCAGGGTTTGCGCTGGCTGACTCGTCGCCCAGGAAGTCCAAACCTCCACCAAAGCCGAACGGGTCGTCCTCCTGTTCGTCGAATAACACCCGTTGGGCCTCGGCCCAGAGCTCGTCGGGGTCTTGTGGGATGTCTGGTCCAGCCGCGGGTGGAGCCTGGTCAGACAGCAGGGGATTTGGTTCCATTTTGTTTAGTTCCGCAGCTGTGAACCCAGCCCTGCGGTGTGGGAGGGGAAGTGTACGATGTCTCCGCTCGTAGATGGCGACGGCGACTCCATGGAGCACGGTCGCTTGGCGATGTCGTGCTTTGGCAGCTTCAACGATGTCGTCTGAAAGGTTATGAGTACGTGCCGCCGCTGTGGCGAGGGCGTCAGCCTGACGATTGAACTCCTCCGCGATGGGCCCGATGAGCCCGAGGTCGATGCCCGTGTCGCCCTGGTGGCTAGCGACTTTCTCTACGCGGAACATGTTTGGCTTGGCCATGACACATCGGTGGACCTTTTCCCAGAACTACACGTGCGTGCCCTGCGGAGGTGAGTGTCCGTCGATGATCCTTTGGAAGCCGTCGACCACCGCCTGGTTGTCCACGAAGACGTGTACGGGCCGTTCAGCACATGCCGTGAGGTGGACAATGGCGAGGGTCTCCGCACGCTGTGCGTTCTGCGTGATGCCGTGAACGCGCGCACTGTAGTTCATGCGGTGGTCGATGCCGTAGTAGACGCCGTAGCCCGCTCTTGCAAGCAAAGGGATGGCTTGGTTTGTGCATGCACCGTCCGTGGCAGCGTAGACCCATGTCCAACCAGTGTCGTGGTCAAGGTAAGTGGTGTAGGAGTCCTGGGCTGAAGCCGCAGGATCTCCCTCAGGCGGGGGCCGCGGCATGGGTTGAGGTAGCGGGTCCCTCGCGAGGTCGGCTTGCAGATCGAGGAGGGCCGGGTCCTCATCGAAGAGCCCGCAATGTCTTGTGTGCGGAGGAAGACGGGCCCACTGCTCGTCACTGATGAGGGTGGTGAGAGGGACTCTTTCACGGGCCCAGCACTTGCAGTCACGCACAGTGTGCTCCTGTGTTTCCTCTTCCTCATCACAGTAACGGCAAATAGGGCTGGGATCAGCGGACGTATTTGATCGAGAACGTCGCTGTTGGGTGTGGTCCCCGCCCGACAGGTAGTTTAAGAGGAGCGCCAGCTGCCAAGCGTTGCATTTGGCAGCTCCTTTGGTGCGGGCGAGCCACGTGCTGGCGAAAAGGTCGAGGCCCTGTCTGACCGAAGCCAGGTGTCCAAGGTCATGACGCCGTGGCTTGATTTTTCTCAGAAAGGCTCTGCGTTGCGAGGCGCGCAGCAAGTGAAGGAAGGCGTTTTGGGGAAGGTTCAGCCAACTGATCTGACAGCCCCAGTCGTCGTACATGGTGCCAAATGTGGGCCAAGTCCAACGGAGCTGCTGAAGCGTCTGAACAAGTCGTCCAACAGGTCCTCCGCCAAAAAGGGTCTGGACATGGTGTTTGAGATCCCTGACGAGGCCGCAGAGAGTGGCGTCGCGGTTGACCTGTCGCCGCAGGCACAGGAAGACTTCACGCTGCATAATGGCGTCAATCTCCAGGGCGTGCCCTGGGACGCACACGGCCATGAGAGTCCAAAACTCGACCCACCTGTTTCCCTTGGGGCGGATAGCCGCATTAAGGGCATGGTTGTAGGCAGTTTTGACGGGGCCTGATGGGGCTTGGATGTCAGTGCCCGTGGTACAGACGCTGGCAGCAAGGGAGCGGGCGTGCCGCGCATTAATACGCATCGGAGATGGGAGCTTGCCAATACGCGGCAGGCGACTAGTCGCCCTGCGAACACGGGCGTCAGCGGTGGCCGTGAGGTTGAGCGCGGCTGGAGCCGGCGCTGCCTCGGCGTTGATGTAACTTCCGACGAGCTTGAAGGAGTCGACCACGCGTAAGGGCAGTTCCGCCAAGGTGAGCTGGGTAACGGCGGTGTGAAGCTCGTCAGTAAGCGCCCACCCCGCCACTTTTCCAGGATGAATGCGTTGACCAGAAAATCGATAAAACTTGGCGGTTTCATCAAGAGATTTCTGCAACTCGGGCGCGGTGTGGGTAGTGGAGTTGCTGTCGTCAACAAGGTAGTGCTGAGAGACCGCGGCACGTAACGATGCTGTCTCTTGGTCCAGACGCACATGAGCAGCTTAATGTCGTCCAGGGACCAAGAGCTTCCCTGGAGGTGACCGTTTGTCCTGGCCAGTTCCTTAGAGTCCGCACCGTTCATGCGGATGTAACGTTTGTGGCGCCTGTAGAAGTTTCTGCGGACAGTAACGATGTCTTGGGGACACCCCGCGTGAAGCGCGAGGTTAAGGCATATGTCCGTGATGAGATAGTCGAAACACTTCTGACGGTCCAGGGCAGCTCAGCCAAGGGAAGGAGAAGGGCTCTGGCGTGTTCGATGCGAAGGGCGAGAGAAGTGCTGACGTCCCCAATGGTAGCTTTGGGAACAGCGCCAAAACTCGTGGCGTGGGTCCATCCTTTCCGCCAGTCCGTGAGGCTGCGGTAAGCTGGTGCTTCCCACGCGTACATCCAAACGGAAAGCACCGAGAGACGTCGTTGGTCCGTTGGGAGTTCGCCTCGGCCTTTTCGGAGGCACGGGTTTGGGACGTGGAGGAGGGGTTCTGGGATGGTGCCAGTGCGTTGCATAGCTCGTAGAACGCTGGCGAAGAGGCGAAGAATGTCGTCGGGAAGCTCCTTTGCCTCCTTAGTAGTCCAACCGTCCAGACCCCCCGCGCGTCTCGGTGAACGGGTGCGAATGACGTGGATGAGTTGGTCGTCGGTGAGGTGGAAAGGGGTAGCTGGTGATGGCGTAGGCAGCTCCTGTCGGTACTCGTCGTAGAAGTCGGCCCACGTCGGCATGGCTTCGGCATCATGTCCCGCACGTGCGTGGTACCTGCCCAAGATGGGCTCCCAGGTGTCGACCATGAGCTTCAGCATGTCCTTGATGTTAGCAACAATGGCGTTGGCAGGGAGGATGTCGGGGACTGGCGCAGGTGGTGGTTCACGGGTGTGGTCTTCGTCGCTGTCCGTGTCGGGCGAACTACCGTCGCCGGGGCTGAAGCCGCCAGCTTCGGTGTCAGCGTCGCTG